AGAGAGAGAGAGAGAGAGAGAGAGAGAGAGAGAGAGAGAGAGAGAGAGAGAGAGAGAGAGAGAGAGAGGGTTGTAGCGAGGAGGGTTGGAGAGGCTGAGCAGAGCAAGAATTGCAGGTGATCCTGGTTGAGTTGTCAGTTCACGCAGCCTGCTCTAAAGGGAAGGGAAGGAGAGACTCTCGATAACCCCTCCAGCTTTCTGCAGCGATTCAGATCTCCTCAACTTGATCATCAAGCAGAGCAAGAAGGGTGGGTGGTCCTGGTGGAATTGTTAGTGTCTCACTGTTCTGTAGCGATCCATCCAGCTCTCCTCAGGTTGATCGTTGTCACATCGACCCAAAATCACCTGCAGCTTGTTCACACTCTTCAGGTTTCATACTTTTGCTGAGTCTGAAATACCCTGCAGCTATTTTCAGATCCTGTGGAACGGCTGCCATGTTCTCGGCACGTTAACTTTCACCACATCCTCAGAAATCAGAGCAACCCCTGTGGACGTAAACGAAACATGTGGCCGTTGGATCGCCAAACCGGACAACTCACGAACTGAAAAAAAGGCTAGCCTGGACCCTGCGTGTAACCGTTGCCGCCATGAATGGTGGTGATGGTTCACATCATCAATACATTGGCCGTGGCCCTTGCGGCCAATGGTTGATGTGAACTACATCCTTCAACTTTCTAAGTTTCGAGTACAAAAAGCTGCCGAGCTGCAGGAAACAAGGTCAGGTGAATTGTAAGAGCATCTTCAAACTTCCAACTACTGCAGTTATGGGAAGGAAGCGTAGCCTCCTCGATGACTTGATGCTGTTCTTGTTAAGTAGGTTGATTAGTATGATTACTATGTTTTTTTTTTTGTTTTTCTTTTTTGAAACAGAACCTTATGGTTCCGGCTCCTTTTCCATTCTGGGGAGCGGCAGTCCGGTTCCTATTCCACCGGCAAGTCTGTAAAGAATACAAGGTGTACTCACTCACGCTCCTCCCCCTTGTGGTGTAGAGGTTCGAAGGACGGCATTGATTACTTCCCGAGGGAATGATGTACCACCCTTCACCCCTGCCTAAGCTAGCCTGTTTTACTGGGAGCCTGTACTTGCAGCATTGTTGGTGCTAGAACCCTAAACCCTGGCTTGATACGTCTGTGACACTGTGACTCTGTGTCTTTAACCTATCTTCAGTGATCCTATCTGTGTCGTGACTTGATGGGGTTGAAGGGTTCGGTCTGAGATCCTCGTATCACTTGTAGGGGACTGTTTGGGTTTAGGTTGGGGAGATCTTGGTAGGGGGGGTGTAGAGTTCTGGGTTGTGGCTGGGTTGGAAATAGTGAGTTTGTCCTGGTTTACTAGGTAGTGCAAGGATGGGTGGATATGGGGGATTGTTGGGGGATGCATTGGCGTGGAGACAGACGGTAGGGGGTGTGGGGGTCGCGGTGGGGGATAGGAGTAGTAAATTCAAACTCGTCTTCTTGTCACTTTGTCATGCCTGCAAACAGCGGTACAGCAACTGGCGACATGCGCCCACACAGTACTCAAGATATCGTAACCAGATATGAGTTCTCTTCAACTGGCTATGGCGACTG